CAAACACAATCTAATTATAAAAAAAGATTGATTGCAGAAATGATCGAGATTCAGAAAAATAAAAGTTGCGTAAACAAACGAACTGATGTAGAAAATCTGAGTACGTCATATTTCAATATTATTAATAAAATAAAATAACGTCACTGTAATTTTGGTTGTTTTTTGTTCTCGTTCTCTTTCTTTCGTGAATTCCTGTGTGTTTTTGGTTTTTTTCCCTAGCTTATAGCGGCACCATTTCAGTGTAGTTTGGTACCGGCATGCATTGATTATAGGTACTACCTGATTTTAATTTAAGAAAAAAAAAAAAAGAAGTAACAACAATAACTTTAGAGTTACCAGTTTTAATATTTCTGTTTTTGTTCTTGATAATTTTAAATGTTATGTCTACAGTGTTTGTCTTTTTATTTTTATTTTAACGTGTTACGGCTTGTGTGTTTTTTGAATTCCGTAATTTGCATAATATAATGATGATGTTCCAAAGACAAAAAAACTTTTGTAATACCTATAAGATCTGTGATACAATTATTTTAATGACAAGGAAAGTTAATTTTTAAATGTAAGTAGTAGTCAGTATGTTCCTAATGTCCACCTTTTAATTATTTATTTATTTATTAAATTTTTCACGTCTTTTGTAGTGTCCTGAGGATGCAAATAAATTTTGCGAAACGTCGACAATTTTGAAAAAAACAAACTTCCGTTGGTGTTTTTTTTTTCCGATCCTACCCCAATCAAAACAAAGCAAAACATATAAATATGTATTGTTTTTTCAAGTTACAATTTTCATACTCAATAAATACCTTAACAATTACACTGAAAAACTGAAAAAAATTAACACAATATCAAATATAACATAGGTAGGTACTCTTAAACTTAACCTTAAACAACAGTACATAATCTAACAAAAAAAATGAAGGAAAAGTAAAGAAATATTCCAACCTAAAAAAAATATACAGAAATAGGAAGATATCCTACAAACAATAATATAGAGAATTGTAAAGGGGCATAAACCAGAAAAAGTTTCACACAGTAATAATCTTGGTAAGAGTATTATTATACACACAAAATACATAGTAAAGTGGTATATAGCCAAGCCGCGAAGCCGCCAAGCTGAACACTTAAACACATGCCGTCGTTGCTGCAATCAACACAAACTGGTTCTCGCGTCACTTGATTTGGCAAAAAAAAAACAAAAATAGAAGAAAACAAAACCTCACACCACTCTACAAACAGACTACAAACGAGCTACAAACACAAGAGAAAAAGGCAAAAGCAGAGACAGGAACAACTCAAGCGAGGCGTCACATCAAAATGATGAGCCCCCGATAAGCTGTTGTCGAAGATTGCATGAAATTGTAGTTTCAATCAATTATCGTATAGTAGCTTGTGATTATCGATTATTGAATTATAGTCAAAATTATGGGAGATTTCGATAATTATCGGGTCATTGGCAACACTGCCCTGCTAAAGCCAAGCGAAGCGGCCGACGTCCCTTGTTTTCTGTTCTATTATTTCTATTGGTTCATTTCAGGTTTATTTTGACATTTGACCATTTATTTAGGTCAGGTACCTAAATGAAATACCTATAAATCTTTGATTATATGACCTGCCTCACAAAACGTTTATAATGACTATGTATTCGTATTTATTAATTTTAGATCTAAGTCTTAAGGAAATCCATGTCAACCTGATCGGCATTTTTGGGTTTAGGTTTAGAGGGTAATTTGGAAAGCTACCACTCCCGTATCTTTTGCTAGGAAATTGCATATTATTTAAAAATATATTATGATCAGAAATCAATAAAAAAATCATGAATGATGATAGTGATCCAGTTCGTCTTGTATTGTTCGTCTTTGAAACGAACATGTACGTCTTTTATAAGACGTACGCAATATAGATTTTTACGTACGTTCTTGGTACGTACTTTTTTGTCTGTATATTAATACAGCCTTTTACGTACGTACTCAAAACGTAGTTTTACATCCCCGACGAACCGACGCGACGTAAAACGGACCTAAAATGTCTTCAGTACGTACTGTGTTTGTTGGGTATAAGCCGACGCCGGCGCCGCTAACATCATAATGGTCATCCATATCACCAGACATATACAAAATTTATTAACAATTCCAACCAGTACAGTGGAAGCACGGGAGTGGCGCTTAAAATGTAGGGGAAAGCGGGGTAGAACGCGGTAGCGGGGTAGAACCCCGCCGCTTCTCGAGCGTGATAGGATATTTCCTTGCGAGTGCGCATATCCGTAAAAAAAAAGAAAAAAAAAAACGCGGTAGAACGCGGTAGCGGGGTAGAACGGGGTACCGTCATTAAAAAGCGAACGTGCGTCCGGAAACATCCGAATTTGCACTGAATCTCACCTAAACGCATCAAATGCATGTCAGATACGTCAGTTGTACAAAAAACGTCGAGCAAGGGTTTAGTCTCCTAAACAACTTGAATTTTCGTGTAAATTTGTAACATTAGCGGCCATATTAACCACGGTAAGTGATTTGCATATTGAATTTTAAGATAGTTCAATTATGTTATGCAAAGAGCTTTTATTAAGCAACATTTTTATCACTTTAGCTTTACTCTAGTTTATGTTTTTTTCCAAGAATTTTACTTTAAAAGTAAATATTGCACATGGTGCGGAATGGGGTGGGGTACAATGGGGTACCGCGTTCTGTCTAATTTAATGTCGATTTAGGGCGGGTATTATGAAACTGCTTTGACAGTTAACTTGAAGTTAACTTTTTGAATTACATGTAATTCCAGAAGTTAACTTTAAGTTAACTCTCAAAGTAGTTTTATAATACCCGCCCTTAGTATTTTTTCAGATGGTTAGTTAGACTTGCTTGAAGTTCTTTAAATGGGCTTCAAGCTCTTTAAATGTGCTTGAAGCTCTTTAAATGTACTTGAAGCTGTTTAAATGTTGCCTAAAGCACTTTGAATTTGTAATAAAATTCTCAAAGTGGCATAAGCTACCGCATACACTCATGAGTTGAATTAGTATAGTAATGAACTTTAAATTTCATAGAGTTATGTTCGAAGACAAAGCGTCAGGTATAGAGTATCGAATCCATGAACGCAGCAGTTGCTGCCGATGGCCAGGTGCGGTAATTGCATCTGCGAGCAAAATTTGACAGATGTCACGTGATTTGACACGTGAATAAAGATAAGTGATCACGTGAAGTCCGTCAAAATTTGCTCTTTTTGCTCGCAGATTCAATAACCGAACCGAGCCGCTTTTCTGGTGAAAAATATAAAAACCCCGTTCTGCCTCGCTAGCGAGGCGGAATGGGGCAAAATACATTTTTTGGTTTCTCAAAATTATTGTCTCAAAAATATTTATTTAACTGTTAAAAATGGTGGAAAAGCTTAATTTACATGTTAAGTAGTACACCTATAGCAAAAAAAAATGTCAATTTTGTAGTGACAATTGAGCATCAAACGTTAAGTACCCGGTTCTGCCCCGCCTTCCCCTACATAGGTAAGAACCCATGGATGACAGCTAAAAATTTTGGTTGCTTCAGTGGAAACAAGTACTTTATATCAGTATTTTCTCAAAGTTTCAAGTTTACGGTAACAAGAAATAACACAAAAGAAAAAAAAGTATCTCAATGTTCCTCATGTGAAAACGTAGCTTAAGATCCTGTAACGAATGACGACAACATCTGTTGATTCCGTTTAGGAGGAGACAATCAGTGCGATAGCGAAGTCGATAACGACCGCTATCTGTTGCATGGGTAAGACCTGGGCTAGGTCCACTGCGTGACTAATAGCGATCAACATCTACTATTTCTATGCACGACACCCTCTTCTGGTTTCTTCAAAAGAGAAGTGTGACGTTCAAAGTTGACCCGTAAGGGTTACCGATAAGTCAGATCTATAGGGGTCAGTTCTGTAACGGATAGCTATCGTTAACGCCGTTCCGCCGTTGATATCATCCTTGTGGCGTCTTCTTTCTTAACCAAATCAGTACAACGGGGACGCGGATTGAGATGTTAATTATCTCTCTAATCTAAACAGAGGGATTAACATTCTTCTGACATCAGCGGTTGCTAATACAATGGGAATTTTTTTAAACAGAAAGCTTTTTTACATAATTGCCAACCCAGACCTACGGAACTTTATTCCAATTAACTGGTAACTTTGGTGAAATCCCTAATAGTTTTTCAAGGAACTGTCTTTTTACCTATACCTAATCCCAGTTTTTGGGAAACGATTTCAATCAACAAAGAGAGAATCATTATTGCTATGCAGGATTACACTGTATCACTCCTGAAGTAAAGGTAGGTACATCCAACATCCAACGTGAATCACTCAGAGTGAAATCATCCAAGGTGATCAGACTCGTGACTCGTTTACATTTTATGATCCAGTTCGCTGTTACACCTCCCGAGGACAGTCACATTTCCCTATTTCGTGTCTGTGGAAACTGAAAATGTGCAAGGGTAACTTATTGCACAGCCTTATTGTGTGGTAACGTGGTAACAGGTGGCAGGATGTCTCGTTCCAGAAGGACTAGATTGTAAGCGAAATTATTGACTTAATTTCACGCGGTCGGATACATGAACTGAACTCCATTACCATTATATCGACTTCTGAAAGTGCTAAAAGATGTTGGTGGGTGAAACCACACGTATTTAAATGTTAAATTAAATTTAGAGTTAAAACAACTTATCCTAGTAAACACAGAAAAAAACTACCACGGAATTCGACTGCTGGTTGTGAAATGAACTGAAAAATGAAGACTGCGGCTGTTTACATTTTTCACTAGGCCTTCATTATGGACGAATAATCGCTTTGAGGAGGGCTTCTTTCATCAAAAGTATTTCGGGTGTCGAATTATTGTTCCTTCATTTTCACTTTTCACTTTGGATGAAACAGCGATGAAAGGCAATTTACACTTATAACTTTGGATGATTCCTCCAAGATGATCATCAACATTGACAAATGTAAATGAGCCTTCACCAATGTTGGAAATAGCATAATAAATAATCTAATGGAAGCTCAGCAATTTTCGTCGAAATATATTTGTATTTATTAAGTATATTTCTATTAAAAACTTAAAAAACTAGCTAACTAGGTTATAAAATGTAAACTAAAATAAGTCCAAAAAAATCTACATTACTTCCGACATAAAAATATGTATTTATAGTTACTAATATTATCAATATCTTATGTCTATAGAATATATAACAAATAAAAAACAAGTAAAAAAAATAATAATAAAAAAATAATAATGATTTTCTTATCCTGATCTACAAACTCAAAATTGTCATTTTTGTGCTATAATTTATGTAATGTGAATGTGCCAATATATTAGTTCGTGAAGTATTTCCATGCAGCGTTAAGGTTACGCTACATAAAATTTACTGTGAAAAATAAATGGATAAGTATAAAAACCTCTTTCAAATTGATATCTTTTTAGTTTCAAGACATTTAAGTTAAATTATCGCCAGCCTGTCATGTGAGATGTCAAAGAGTCAATTTTGCTTGGCCTGTTTCTCTAGTATGGTACTCAATTTGTGGTCGTAGGTATATAGACCTACTTAATTAATCATTCAAATCAAAGCTTATGGAAACAAGTGAAGTGCCGTCAAAAGATCACTGTTAAAAAGACCAGCTTTTTCGAAATTTTCGCTCCTATTATAAGGTTTTCCAGAATTTTGCCAAAGAAGTAAGTATAAAAAATAGAGTAGACCTATCATTATTTGTTCTTGTGAATAAACACAAAAATCAACTTAATCTTGAGTAACTGTTGATTTTATAGAAATTGAGGAATTATCACATCCAATAATAAGGCACGTTATCAGATCTATTCTGTGGTTGTTGAAAAAAGTAGGTAAAATTTTTATGAAATTAATGACCAAATCTCAAAATGTACAGTTGGAGTAGCGGGAATGAAGGACAAAACTACTGATCTTTTTTTTTTATGGACAATTGGATTTACCAAATGCCCCAAATAGTAACACATGATTTAAACCAAACAAGGACTCCTACAATAGTTTTGGGGCTTAAAAAAGATGAGGTTTCCAATAAAACGCGGTCTTAAGAAATAAAAGTTTACATCTCTAGTTTTGTCCTTTATTCCCACTCCCACTGTACAGTACGCATTATGTTCACCTAGGCTGGATAGTGGTACGCGGTACTCATGAGGGAGTAGTAGGTGAATTTGAAAGGCTCTTTGGAGCGTCTCGGGTAGAAGCATTTACAGAATTGCTAGTGCTAGAAGGCGGTGCAGTTGTTACAGCAGTTTGCGTTTGTTGCTGTGCAGCATTGGCATTCGACATTTCTCGTTGCAATGCTATTCGTCTGGCTATCCTTTCTGACCTGTCTTCCCTCAACGTTTTGAAAAAGCTGTGGAATGCGAACACTCCCAATGCCTAAAAAAAATTATGTTAGCAAAGGACCTCTCGTTAATATTATGGTCAATAGCTTTTAGTAAAATTGTCCTAATTTTCATTAGTATTTTGGTATTGCCAAAAAAAATCCAGTGAATTTCGTTGTTGTAAGTTAAGTTAAAAGCCAGGTAGAAAATAAGAACTTTAAATATTGTTTCGAATTTGAGGATGCTAAATTTTGTATTCATAGATTGTCAAACTTTTTGCTTGAGCCAGTTTCAAATTGAATTTAACATTTTATTTTTAGATAGGTATTTATCTTCAACATATTATTTTTGTACTTATCACTTAGGCATCGCTTCAATGGTTATTTTTGTCCACGAAGTCAAGGACGACTACAAATAAAAATATCAGAGCATTACACCACCAAAAGCCACGTCCCATAAGATTAGTACAGGGTGTTTTGTAAGTAGATACACTTGCCTGGAAAACTGCACATAAAAATCCTATTATGACTCCATCAATCAGGATCCGCTTCACGTATCTGATTAGTGGAAGTTTGCATCCTTCGATTTTTTCGAGAAAAACAGACGACATAGAGGTATTTGAAAAACATGATGTGGGGTATGAATCTGTTTTGTTCCTGTAGTCGTCCACGCCGTTTATGCCACAACAGTGCAACTAGGAGAAAAAAGTAATATTTATTTCCAATCTGTATTCACCTAAGGCTGTTTTCAGTTTGACATAATACGATAATTGAAGACCTAAGTGGATGAAGGTGCTATGTCGGTAAATCAGTGGCCAATAAAATTATATTTCCTTTATATCATCACATTTGATTCTATCACAATATGTTGGTTAGTCTTACTCGTTTCGAGGCCATGAGACGTTTACGTAAACACTGATCGCGAATGGGGCTTGAGACAATCATAATATAATATATGATTATCTTGACTGACAAACTAGTCTTTCTATTGAAAAAAGTCTAAGTATATAAGTATATAAAGTTTTGGACTTGAAAAAGAAATTGCAAAAATCTAACAACTTTTTCTTTTCTTTTTTGGATATCCCAATATATTCTTTTCAACAACCGATTCAAAAAATCACTCGAGATCTTCCGCAAAATATTTAATTTACTTCTCAATATTCCAACAAGCCTCCTGTATTTTCCGATAGCCTAGTCGGTCTAAATTCAGTTCTGTCAATAATTTTTGAATATTTTTTTCTTACAGCAACTTGCAAAAATGGCATGCAATCGCTTGATCAGCTTCTGTAGTGATAATTACCAAATTCGTTCATTCGATAGTATCTCGAATATTAATTTTGTCATTTAGCCCATTGTTTTGTTTTTTAAAAAGGCACCTAAAGTATCTGCACCGCATAATTCTTGAAAGTTCTAAAACAAATCGATGTTTAGGCAAATAGTAATGATTTCACGATATTGGCCTTTCTCAATTCTTCCAAAGTCTCTCTCAGAGTCTAGATAGCTATCCTACAACGGAAACTTATGCTCAATTATTTTGGACAAGCCATTTTCAGGATTTTCTTTCAAACAGTTAACAAATCATTCTGCCCAGCACAGGAATCGGACCAGAGAATCCCATAATTAATTTTTGGGCGTTCTTCTTTGAGCAGTTTAGAAAACCGAAACACGTAGCTTGATATTTCGCTACTACCTCCATTAGCTTTATCTTCAGTACACGTGAAGAATAATATAAACTAAATTTCATAGGTAGAACGCTTTTGACTTGAATACTGACATAGTTTGCTGTAAATTCCTGGTAACGAACAAATGTTTTTATCAGAAAGTGGAAAGTCTGACTGCTTTTTGAGATTCCAGAGCAAAGATACAGTCTTCTTTTAAGTCACTTTTAAGATCTCCACATGAAAGATTTTATTTCGTCCAAATTGATGGCGATATACATAGATATCTTCCACCATCCTCCTCAAGATTTTGTCCTTAAGTCCTTAGCATTCAACTAACTATGTTTATTGGTGCATCTTCGTCATATATACTAATAAGGAGAAAAAAAAATTCTAGTTTTTGTTCCGGAGAATAATGGGATTATTGGCAAGACAATTATTGGAGCATTAATTTGAGCTAATAAGTATATAATCATTGAATAAGACAATTAATAGTGGACGGAATCGAAGATCAAAGGAAAAGCACGAAGAACGGGACCAGCTTCTAGAGAATTTCAATTTTCAATGAGAATGGATCTAAACCGTCATCTATGATGAATAAACCAGACTCAAGAAAATCCTGGGAGGGCGAGATAATAAATTCGACAATGCAACTGGTTAGCAATAGTCAGCGCAGTAGACTATTTTCAGTGCGCCAGAACTGCGTTGGCCCTTGAAAGTGCTCAAACTAAGTTCGCGGTCTACCATGCCAAACATGCCTTCATCATTCATCTGCTCAACATCTGTATGCCTGTCTAAGTGGACTGCGACCTGAACGCCTTTCCTGACTTCACAGGAACTAGAAAATGGCAACCTGTTGACTGCCATTCTCCCGCCTTACCTGCGCCTTAACGGATGGTTGTTGCACCTCTTCGTGGAAATCTGTAGAGCAGTTGTTTGCAAGATAGTTGAACCTTTTTGATCAACAGTAGTCGTAATTCACCAATCTCCCTGGCCCTGGCCTTTCTTTCATCGCTTGCCGGGTTTCCTTTTCTTCATTTTGTTGGTGATCTATTGGGAGTTTTCCTTATGTTCGAAAATGATTCGTCACTCGCTTTCAGTTGATCACTTCTCAGCTGTTCGGAATTCCGATCTTGATTCGCATCAAATCGAATGCTTTCTAGCCCGTATTCTCGTAACCGGGGAAAAGCGTTCTCGAGAGAGAACAGTTGCTCTGTCTTTGGCAGTATTATGGAAATAATAATATGGGCAACTAAGACAGAGCAAATCGTTCTCTCGAGAACGCTGTTCCCCGGTTACGAGAATAGGCCCTGGTTGGATCTTAGCCATTCGCAACTTTCCTTTTCGTCGCGTTGTAGGGCGCTGACTCTCCAGTTTGCCACGCCAACCTTCCTTGCTTCTAATGTGACACTGTCCTCCCAGCGGAGCTTTGGCCTTCCTGGTTTTCTGGTGCCCTCAAGTTTAGAGCTTGGCACTCGCTTTGGCATGCTGGAATCTGCCGACCGTACTATATGTGCCCCGTCCATCGTATGCGTTCGGTTCTCATGGTACTGAGAACGTCCATCGCTTCGTAGAGCTCATGGTTGTATCTCCTCCGCCAAATTCCGTCTTCTTACAGCTTGAAGATAGTGTCAACACTGAGCCTGCTTGGGAAAATAACACACTGTACATGATTTCAATAATGAGTTTGTTACAAATCGACAAAACACAGGTCATAATTGACCTGGTTAATTATGATGAGACAAGCAATAAACGGATATAAATTGCGCCGCGAGCCGCAGCAAAGGCAGACTTGAACCACTGCAAGTACCTCTCGTTGGGGAAGCCCCTCTGGATTCACGTCTCGTCAGTGCAAGTACCTCTCGTTGGGAAAGCCCCTCTGGGTATCTTCATCCTTATCGTTGTCCAGCGCCGGTACCTATCGTTGGGAAAGCTCCTCTAGACAAGGCATAACGGTGACGATAACTAACCGACAGTCGCAGCGTTGACGTGTGCAATTGGAAGGGTCATGCATCCTAGGACTAGCATATATGTAAGGGCATATTTGGGAAAATATATATCTACACTTTTATAAAACTTGAGCGAGTTTCTCTCCATCAAGCCCCAAAGCTACAAACCCCCCATGTCACCTCCGTGAATCGGGCAGTTGTGACAATAGTCTTAGGGTTTTTCTCTCAAAGGTGAGCAGGAGATTAGCGTTCTGCTTTGAGATTGTCCAAGAGTTTTGTACAGTTGGACTTTTGTTTTCCTGATTATGTTCGAGCTACATAGTTGTTTATGTAGCCCATAGTAACTGCGTTTGGCAAGCAGTATTCGTCTCTTGATTTTATCTGTTCCGTTGTTGGTGGAGTTGACCAAATGATCCCAGGTAGGCAAACTCATGAGTGACCTCTAATAGACTGTGAGATAGGGGCTGTTTAGTGGAGTCATTTATTTTTTTCTGGCATTTCGAGGGCTGAATGTGGCTACTAAGCTGATGAGAATATGGGTGATTTTAATGCCTGCCTCCCGTTCGAAAATTTGTAGAAGAAATAAATTGATTTACATAAGAAATTTTTTTTCAATGATCTCAAATTTTTTAAATAATAAAAAATAAATAATAAATAAGTTCTTGTCTCCAATGGTAAAGTTTTGTCTAATGTTCCTTTCACGTTGGTTTGTAGCCGCTATACCATGAGTGTTTTTATTTTCGTTGCTCTCAGCAGCACTTGAAAGTGATACAAAGCATTCTCTTTGAACGTGGAGTGTCCTTGTTATTACGTCCTTGCATATGCAAGGAGCTGCACCGATTTATAGATTATCTCTGACAACTTTTTCGAGAGCAAACAAGCTAGCGCATCACCTTGTCTAAGGTCATTTTTATCTCAAGGTTTTTGCTGGAGACATTCTTCATCAGGGCATGCTCTGCTAAATAAGACATCTACGTTGGTATGCAGTATGCAGTTCACCAGAGTGATATTTGTTTAGAAAATTGTTTCGTTGAAACTTCAAAATCGAAGGCAGACAATCATCAGAAGGAGAGCGAGATCTCAGTTGTACTCTACAGTCAAGTTTTCAATAGAGGTATTCTTTAGATCTGAACAAATTGATCGAAATCACTTGAGGTTCAGTGTCATCCGGTTTTAAAACGATTTCATTGGGCCTAACTGTTTTTTTGACGCCTCATAAACAAAACTTATGTGATTACAATCAATTTGTTCAGATCGAAAGAATTCCTGGAATATCTCCTTCTTCCGCAGGGGTAACATTCGGTCGGAGCTCTCGCTCAAGTAACCTATTGAAGGCTGAGAGTTATGGAAAGGAAAGCGAGATCTCAATCGCACTCTAAAATCACGCTAATGATATGTTTGTTCGCTTTTCGATGTTGAAACCAGTAATAAACTCACTATTCTTGTATCACTCACGCTTTCCAAATGGAATTTCAAAGAAGTTTCCAGAATCTTCCAGATAATCCGTCTGTGAACTGGTTTTTCGATATCGAAACCATTAATGAAATCACTATTCTTGTATCACTCACGGTTTCCAAATAAATTTCTATGGAGTTTTCTAAAATTTTTCAAAAAATCCGTCTGTGAGTTCATTTTTCGATGTTGAAACCAGTAATAAAGTCACTATATCATTGAATCACCTACGATTCTCAAATCAAACCCTATAAAAGTTTTTGAAAATTTCCAGATAATCTGTTTTGTGAACTGGTTTTTCCGATATCCAAAAAAGGAAAGAATCCCTGGCACGAAATATTATCTGGATCTGAAATAATGAACCTGGGAGAGTGCAAATGGCAGTTCTAGGTACAATGGATCACTTCTGTGCGAAGTTTTGACGACAATAAAGTTCAAATCATAGGCCGCCTTAAGATAAATAATAAATAACTATTCTGAATTAAACTCCGCACTGGCGTTTCTTTTGCGGTTTTACCAATTTTTTCAATAAATGTGAACATTCTGAAGTAGTGGCCACAAAGTCGGGCTAATATTTCCTGTTTTAAAAAATTATCAATTTTCATTTTCGAAAAAAAAAAAAAATGAGAGCAGTAAGAGTTGAACCCACCACCCAGGTCCATGCGGACTTTAAAACCCGCGCTTTGACCGCTCGGCCACGCTGCTTACCTTCAGAAAAAAAATAAGAGCTGTATCATATTTGGCCACTCACTTGACTTTGTAATTTGTTCCAATCTTTCCTGTAGTAATTCAGCTTTATTAATTCGTCAAATGAGGACACCATCAAATCGATTGATTCCACTTCGACCTCGTCCCATAAAATAATCGACCAGACTCCTACAGCGAATTCGCAGGCCAATAATACTATTGTGAATATTATAAACTGAAACAGTAAAAGATTTTCAAAATGAGGATTAATAAGCATTAAATTAAGTAGCACAATTATTACTATAAGAATTCATTATGCTTTATGTTGATTTGATGTAGTACTAGTAATTCTTACCAAAACAATGTGAAAGTTATGTTCTCGGGTAGGTCCTTTAATTCCCAACCATGTAAGAAACAAATGTGCGATTCCCAATATAAATATAACAGAAAATGGACCGACCGTTCCGGAAGGAATAAATGTATAATGGTAGAATATTTTGAATAATAAATATGACGCTAAACCGATGAGTATCAAGCCAGAGATCTAAAAAATAAATTGCTATTTAGGGACATAAATACATAAGTAGTAGGTATTCAACAGTTAAAACAGTTAGGCATGTATACTTACAAACAACAGTCCTGAGTATATCAAGCAAAATATTTCTTTAGATTTTAACGAAACCATTATTGAGATTTTGTTTGCAACATTTACTTGGGTAAAAGGTGGAACGAAAGCACAGCTTATTTTTGGAATGATTTACTATAATACATAATTAAAAGAGCATCCAAACGCCGCGCAACTTTTGAAAAAACAAACATTCCTACTAACAACGATGAGTTCATTCATAAATTATAAAAAAAAATTTAAATTGATATTGTTTGTTTATTAAATCTGCTTTGTTGCATCTAGATCGCCCCGCTTTAGTAATAGTCTAAAAATAACTGTATACTTACCTGTTCGTAGTGTAATTTATTTCAGTTCCCACGAAAGCTCACGGTCATAAGCGCTATATAAGAATTAATTATAGGCAACACACAATACTGAACCCCAGAATAGAAATTTTGTTCTAGAGGATGGACTTTAACGTGAAGGAAAGATGGTGACCAATTATATTATGTGTGCAAAGGTCGGTAAATAGGAAAAACACTACAAAGAGATAGTAAGTTGTAAATAAAAACCGGAAAACATTAAAAAAATAAGTAAAATGGATGAAAGGAAGATCAGAACAATATTGTCACGGCTCTGGGGTGGGTGACATAAATCTTGGGTCCGTTTATTCCAAAATCAAAGTCCAATTAACATAGCAATAATTTATTCCGCGTTACTATACACTCTGACACTAATTACTCGACTAATTAACTCAAACAACTAAACTCTTTACAACTCTCAACAATAATCACTATCTAAATCATATCACAGTCAATCTTAAACTTAAAACTACTAACTAATACCGGCCTTCATATATCCGCAATCTATTCGTGCAGAATCCAGAATAAACGCAATAACTCTCCTTCCCGAACAGCACCGCAACAATCTAGAATCAGCTGTCCAATTCTGTACACCCTGGCGCTTCCGCCAGATTCTCGCGACACTGCCCTCCTCTCAAGGTTGATCGTTTCGATCAACTTCGCGCCCATCATATTTCGTCAATCGGTCCAAATGTACAACTTCCATCTTACTCCTGGTGTTGCGCTGAACTCGATAAAACAAATCATTAATCCTCTTGATTATTCTGTGGAGTCCTTCCCATGCTGAAGACAATTTCTGCGCACTTCTTTCTTTCTTGCTGGATTATACCAGCCACACTAGATCACCTTCTTGAAATCCGGCTGAATTGGCTTTCAAGTCGTATCATGACTTCATTCGGTCACTGGCCAGCTGAATATGCTCCCGAGCAAAATCATGTATCCCCAGAAGTCTTAATTCGTCGGCATAATCTCGAATTTCTTTTCGTTCTTCTTCAGGTATTCAAAAATTTCCAAACATCGGAACGCAGGGTAACCTGAGTTCCCTTCCAAAAACGATTCTAGCTGGACTTTCATCTGTTTCGTGAACTGCTGCTCTGTAAGCCATTAAAAATAGAGGCAAGTGTTTGTTCCAATCTCGCTGCTTCTTTGCGACCACTTTTGTCAAGTGTTCCTCTATAGTCGTTCTACCACAGCTTGTTCTACCATGCCATCAGACTGTGGATGTAAAGGTGTTGTCCTTGTCTTACGAATACCCATGATCTCACAAATTTTCCTAAACATGGCAGATTCGAAGTTTCGTCCCTGATCTGAATCCAACTCTAGTGGCACACCATGACGACTGAAAACTTCGTCCACTAGCACCTGGCCAATAGTGATGGCTTCTTGATTGGGAATAGCGAAAACTTCTGGCCATTTACTGAAGTAATCCATGATAACCAAGATGTATTTGTTACCACGCTCTGACTCAGGGAATGGTCCGGCAACATCTATCGCTATTCGTTCAAATGGGAGACCGACGTTGTACTGTTTCATTGGCCTCGAGATCTTAGTTTAGGGCCTCTTTACTGGTAGCACAGATGTCGCATTTCCGGCACCAGTTTTCAACATCTTCATGATAGGCGATGATAGTGAACCCAGTAAAAACGTTCTTGAATTTTGTCCAAAGTCTTGTTATCTCCAAAATGTGCCCCTGAAGTTCCGTCATGTATTTCTTTTAATACATCTTCTACTCGAGCTTTTGGAATAACTAGTTGGCTCTTCGTAGTTATCCCGTTAGCTCTTCGTAGTTATCCCATCGGCACTTTCCCAAACTCTTTTCAGTTAACCATTTTCTACGGCCAGAGAGTTCCACTGAGCCCACAACGCGTTGTAAATCAAACTCTTGTCCGACACTTTCCTCCATTCTGGCATACATTCATCATTTTCTTTAAGATGTAGAATTTGCCCGATGTCCTGGTCTGCCTCCTGATATTCTCTCATTTATTTGATAGTCTATTTGTCATCAACGATCAGGCCAGTTCTTCTCACAGCTGGACTAGCTGTCTCTCATGCATATCGATTCTTTGACAAAGCTTGCAATCTTCTTTACATGGCCGCATCTTTATGCAGGTTTTCAGGTCGATGTTTAATTTGGAAATCGTATTGCTGCAATTTCTCAATCCATCTAGCAAGCTGTCCTTCGGGAGTTTCCATTTCTAAAAGCCATTTTAGAGCAGCGTGATTCGTTCGAATCAGAAACTTACGTCCTTAGAGATACTTATGGAAATGGCGAGCAATTCTCTTCTGGTGACATAATAATTTCGTTATGGCTTTGACAAGGTTCTGCTATACGACATGCTCTTGTGAATTTTGGATTTGTGAAAGGACAGCTCCAATACTGGTGTTGCTTGCATCTGCGTCCAAAATCAACACGCCTTTCTGATCGGGATAGGACAACACTAAGAATTCCACTTTCTTTTGAAATAGAAAACACTTATTTGGATTGAGTTTTAAGTTGGCATTCCGGAAGCGGTCAAAAACTTCTTTTAGGTTATTGAGATGTTCTTGAAACGAATTTCCCATGATCATGACATCATCTATATACCAGGCAAGTTCTCCATGTAAGACCTCGCAAAACAAGATGCATCAGTTTCTCGAATAAGGTAGCTGGAGCATTAAACAATCCGAAAGGCATTACGTTAAACTGGTATAATCCGCTTCCGGTAATGAAGGCAGTTTTCTCTTTGTCATCTTTGTGTATTGCCACTTGCCAGTATCACCTTTTGGGATTCAAGGTGGAAAACCATTTGGAGCGCGATAGAGTTGTTAATGTATCGTCTATTCTCGGGAGAGGAAAGCTGTCCTTCTTGGTGACGTCATTAAGCTTTCGGTAGTCCACACAAAATCTAAGACTTCAATCTTTCTTCGTAACCATTGTAACCAATACTACTGGCGCAGACCATCGACTATTTGACTCTTCAATAATTCCCTCTTGAAGCATTTTATCAATTTGGTTTTCCACTTCCTGTCGTTTAGCTACTGGCATACGTCGAGGTGGTTGTCTAAATGGGTGTGCCAATCCAGTATAAATTTTGTGTTGAATTAAACTGGTCCGTCCGGTGATTATCCATCACAAATATGTCTGCTCCTTTCAAGATGAAATCTTTGTCTTCTTGAAGTCTATCTGGATCGAGATGTTTCCCAAGTCTGCATCAAGGTGTATCCAATTTCGATTTTTCAAAATATCGCGTATCTGGTAGGTCACAGTTCGATATTTGCTTAACTGGTTCGAGAGTTCCAATAATATCTCTTTCCTTTATTTTTACTGTTTCAAAAGAAACATTGGCAATTCTTATCATAATGTCTCCATTTGTTCTTACTAGAGTCTTTCCAACGAGAAATTTTATTGATTTATCTCCAATAAAAGTATGTGTTAGTCCAACGCAGCACCCAGGGTTTGTTTCCAATATTCCGCAAATAATCTTCTCAGTACTTCCAGAAAGTCCTCACCGGGTTTGTGGCCAGGATCTTAACGGCTTGAGATTTTTCTTGTGTAGTTAGGAAAAATTCATTTTGAGGATATTCATAGAAGGATCGAAAGAGAAACCATATTGGCCGATCAAATCCATTCTCAAAATAAAATCATCTTCTATATCGGCGACTAATGTTCTGTGCCTAAAGGTGATAGATCCAAAGTTAAGCTCAACCATAGCTTCTCCTTGAACTGGTGACGATTCGCCCGTGACTGTTCGTAGTGACAGGTTTCCAGTTGGATTGCCCGAGACTTGACTAATGTTCTTCTAATTATAGAAACTTCAGCACCCGTATTAAAAGTGACGGTTTTATATTCACCGTTAATTTGTCCTTCGAATTTCAATCCTCTATACTGACTGCTCAATGATTTTATGTAAATAACCCTGGGGGATTCATCATTACTAACCAGTATTCGCTTCTCCATACTGGTTAGTTCTCGTTTCCCTGTCTGTTATCAGGGCTGGCGTCTCTAGATCTCGAAAAGCGTTGGAAACGATCCCTAGATGGAGATGACATTCTTACTCTACAATCTCGTTGAATATATCCAAGCTTATGGCACCGGTAAGATTCTAATCGGTTTCTCGGTGTTGGTATTTGTCTGGAGTCGTTTCCTGTTTTTTGCCTTCTAGTAATAGTTTTTTTATTTCCTCCATGAAATTACTCATAACGTTCTCGAAACTACCATCCTATATTTTCCGATCTCGCATCATATCAGATTCATTGAACGAACAAAAAATTAGTTAAGTAGTGACTCATCTCTTTGATTGGTATCCATGCTGCCCCATGCAGTGTGGTGAAAGTTCGCATCACCAGATATTTATTGTTCCTTCTACAGTGGTGGACGAGCGCTTCCATTATGTAGCCGGATGCGGTTTCCTGTTTCCCGGAGAGTATGCGGAGCAGGCGATTATGTCGTCATGCACTTCTACTCCGGGAGAGTTACTTGTACGGTGGTCATGTGCTTGGAGCAGAAATTAGTAAGTACAGAGTATTTTAAACTCTTTCTGATAAGTATAAACTATCTGGGGTTTATTCCAGGAAACATAATTCCTTACCAGAGGTATTACCTAGTCCGCGTACTCGGCCTGTGATTGTAGTCCAGGGTTCCTGAATAAGTGGATATATCTACTAGCTCCTTGTCGAATATTTGCCCAAGAACGAAGTAGGCTGTCTTGGAATGTTGCAGGTTTGCTTGCATTAGTCTGATTGTTTTGTCAGCCAGACTAAGCCAAGGTTATTTCCTTCAGATTTTGAGTTGGAAATGCCCCCCTCCTCCTGCTGGCCAGGTCGTTTGGAGTGCCCGGCAGGTTGAGATGATTGTTCCACTCCGCGCTGCCCCTGGCTCTCTTCCCGTTGCTTTAAAAATAGGTATTTTCCAAGGCGGTTTGGTTCTGTTCGTGAAGAGGTTGCGCTTCCTCTGTGCCTGCGTCTGACAGCTTACACGTCGGGCGCTTTCACCCTCTCACTTTTCTGATTTGTCCTGGGAGGGGGATTCTAGCATCCCTTCCTCCAGCTCCGAATTGATTGGAGAGGCAATTTGAGCCGATCTTGCGGCATCTACTTCTGCCTCAATTGGTTCCTCTTCCTGAGGCTTGGAGGTATCATCCCCTTCGTTGTTTTTACTTCTAGATTTCATATATGGTCCCACGAGTAGCAAGGGAAGAAGGGTCCACCACGGCAGAGCCCCGGAGATAAGGTTGGATACTCTGAGATGTCGCCTGCTGGTGTCCCAGAGGCTCCGTTAAATTGTCGATAGCTGATTCCGGGCTCAGGTGCCATTCATCCCTTGGCACGGTTTGCATACCACCTTGGATTAAGCCCTGACGTTTCTCTTAGTCTGGCCCCGAAACCTGCTCGGCATGGGTGTACCTAGCAGTAGCGATAAGCTACCACCGACATACAGGGGCGGATGGGGAGCATAAAACCGGTCCGGGAAACCGTTGGCACCGGCCCGGCCTGCTAGATCAGTATTTTATTTTGGGGGCTGTTGTCAATGAATCGCGCCGCAGCCAATTTTTTTTTAAAAGTTCAAGGTCACGCAGCTTAAAATCCTACTGGTCCCAATTTTTTTTGGTATTATTTTATAGGGGTAACACAAAAAACTCTGGATGGAACTTCCTGACTCAAGCAGTCCAAACTCTTCATAGAAGGACCATCTAAGAGCAGAACAGAACTGCTTAGATTAAGCAGGAGACAATTGGGAGATGTGGTTGGATTATTGACAGGACACTACCCTCTCCGAAAACACCTCAACACAATGAAGCTAGCAGAAGACTCGATGTCAATGTCCTAACCTTAGATGGCAAACACAGCGGCACTTTGGGACACAGTATCCGAAACCAAAGGAAATCGTGAAAGCGAATATCAGGGACTTCCTAGGTTTTACTAAGGGAGTTGACCTGATATGAGAACTTCAGGGTCCTTATTCTTGAAACAGGAGAGCAGCGTTCCCAAGAGAACGAGTGTTCTGTCTTTCTCAATGATAAGGAAATGATAATATAAGTTACAAAGACGGACCTCCTGTTCCCAGGACCCAGGAGAGAGTAGAATAGAATAGGGGTATTTGGAAATAAAAATATAAAATACTCATATTTCAAAAACATTCTATGTATTTTTCTAAATCTTAGATCAGGAAATTTTGTGGCTCGATTTAGGATAATAAATTAATGAATAGTGGGGATACGGCCCCACGGCCAATTTTTATTTTTTCAGAAGCACACAAAAAATAGAAATTGACGTGTCCGAGAGGAAAGTCAGGAAAGTGTTAATTTGAGAAGAACGGGGCCAGTAAATTTTTTCTTATTTATCCAATGTCAACTTTGACATTCCACAATGAGTCCTCGCATCCTACCTTTCGGCTTTCGCACTTCCTGTTGCCCACCAACTATCTAGCTAGCCGCAACTGCCCCCCAGAGTCCAACACCTGCGAAAGGAGCCAAGTTTTTGGACTTGGCTGGGCAAGCCTTTCCCCTGGGTACTCGTGTTAGCCAGGTTCCCCCAGCAACGTTTGACGAGTCACCGTTCGCCCCCATTTTCATGGAAGCTACCACATCTAGGTTAATACACGCTTGTACCTTTTAACCACAGTCCACGAACTCTGGAATCAGCACAGCGGCGAGCATTTTTACCGGCACCGGAATGTGGTTGACTCAGCGCCGTAGTTTCTTGTGGGCTCACTAGGTGAGTTCCTTTTCCCTTGACAAGGTCCGGGATCGGGGTTTCCCCCTACTAGCTTTCGGAACACCCCAGTCATCCATTGCCCAGATACCTGGGATAGGGCAGACATTTAGGGGTCCTTCGCCCATGCCAACTAGTGAGACTATGGGTATAACTCAGGTTATACCTTTAACCCCCCGGCCCTGCCCGGGTCCTCGTTTAACCGGACGAGTCGCGGTTCGAAGTATCGCCTTTCCCCGGAAAGCTGGGCTCAGCGAACTTTCAGCCAGATATACTGGAATCGTTCGCCGAGTTCCCTGCTTTTTGCCTAGGACCAACAATACTGCTACCATCTTTCTGGAAAGAGTCTCAGGAACTTTGCCCAGAGCTCTAGGATCGTTCGGGAGCTCCTCCTTCCTCCGACTATCGTGAGATGGTAGACACGATAGCTCGGTGGAGTTAACAAAATTGCACCAGCGAACCAGCCATCGAAAATGTGGGTAGGGACAGTGGGAATCTCGTTAATCCAACTTTGACAGTGAATATCTTGAGAACTAATCATTCGATCTTCAAAAAAAATACGCAGTTGTGACGAGAATCAAAATACCTTTAAAACAAGGTACCACTCGCCCCATCTTCCCTAAAAAAGTGGGGTGAAAGTCCCCCACCCAGAGGGTGACTTTCACCGAAATACCTATTGGGTCAAAAAGTTTCCCCCTTGAATACAAAAATGACGTGTCCGAGCGTTTTCTTTTAAATCGACCTTAAAATACCTTAAAACGCTTCTGTTTCGACGTCCGTGAAACACCCTGTATGCTCCGGGCCGGTTGGACCAGCCCAGAAGCAAGCGGCCCTTCGGGAAACTTCCCAAAATCCCTGTTGGCCCATCCGCCCCTGCCGACATAGTTCAGGGATGGAAGCGAGCAAGGCCCCCTGGTTCGAAAAACCCAATAAGACACGTCGGGGAGAAATGGATAGTATTCAGAGCAATATTTAAAGCAAGGAATGTGACTTGACAACAATAAATATTTCAGCTTCGCCGGTAACCGGCATTAAAAGTATTAAACTTCCACCTACACCTACATACATACAAAGCTGTGTCAATACGAGAAGAATAAAATGGTTTGATCACTAATTGTATAAGAACCTCGTGGCTTGTAAGTTAAGTAAAAGCGATAGGGATTTTTGCAAAGTTATGTGGTTCAGAAGTTGTTGTTGGTAAAGAAAGTTTTAGTGGACCCGCGGCATGGAGCATATTTGTGATTTTATTCAACGATTGATATTTTAATGTTTGGCCCTATTATCCTATATATAGCGGGTATTGTAGGTATTCCATATTTGCAAATTTTACTCTATATGAAAAAGTAGGTAGGTAGGTAGGTATAGCTTTAAAATAATTTTCGAAAGGAAATATTCACCTTTGTTTTGATAAATAAAAAATAAGCTACCAATAATTTGATTATTGGCGATCGGCACAGTTTCGGGTGTGACAACCCCTCAAAAGTTGTTATACCTACCTTCCAAAAATTAGTTGCGTTGCTTTCTATGGGACTACGCTTTAATTATTACCACCTACCTAATCCTACCTATAATTACTATACCTGTACCTCATCGCGACTAAATAATGGGTAAACAAAATTTCAAACACCTGTAAAAATTATTAAAACTGATAAGTTAGTAAACCACTCTCTTATCTCGGTGAATGCTAGGGTGTTGGGAATAATCGTATTTCGTTTAATCAAAATCTAAACAAGGCAACAAGTCACGTGTTGTGTATTATTTTGTATGCGTATGCACGCTTTAAAAGTGTTTCTTCAACCAACCTATTTCAAACTGGAATATGTACCCATATTATGAATCAGACTGGAGTGTTTTGCCACCTGAGGCTAACAGAAGGTAAAAAAATCCTTCTTGGACATTACTTATGGCGTGGCTCAATGTTTCTGCTATATATATATATATATATATGTATACCTATTTTACCAACGTTATCTGCTGCTGTTTTGTTATTGGCCTACTTATTTTAATTCCTTTTTGTAATAATTAGCTTCTTGCTTTCCATAATTATCTGAATGTTTTGCCAGCTCAGCTTTGCTTTGACACGCCAATTGGTTTATTATAGGTAGGTTCCTACCTATTTGCTACTTGTTATATGTTACTGAAAAGTTTTGCATAAAATTGAAATAATAATCTATACATTGAGAAAATATTATTTTTCTATAATTCGGACATTATTATTTGAGACCGACTATAGGTACCTACCTATACCTAATTTATTTTTATCAGCAAAATCCAGACAGGTGAGTGGAGGCTAAAATTAGTAAAATTATTGCTTTTTTAAGTACCTACCTTTCCTATGTATGATAGAAGGAGGAAGTTTATTTGTTTATTTTTATGTTTGCATAAATCCCTGACCTGGTGCCCTAGAAACTTTATGACTTTTCGTATCATAAAAATAGGTATACATATTAAATTTTTTCTAATATTTTTTGTTTTAGTTTTTCTGTTTGATAATTTCTCCTGGCATAAAATGTTCCCATACTTGTTCTCTTTTTGTTTATGCTACTGTGATTATGAGCTTTTCCCGTTCGTTAGCCATAGTTCGTTTATGATTCTTTCTAGTTCTATTTATTTGCCCTTTACTAGTACACCTTATCGCATTTTAGTTTTTATAATTATAAATCCAAGTGCTTAATTGAAAAGCTTATGCGATGGTATCATTGGTATCTCCCTATGTCCGACCTCCCGTTTAATTTGGTTAGGTTCAGTTGTCAGTGTTTGATAGTTAATCAAAAAATTTTGTGTAGCTATTTGCATTTCCACTAATTGTTCAATATGAAAAACTAAAGCATGTTTCAAAACAACGTACACGTTACAGCTTTAAACAAATATTTGATTGACATGAATTTCCACCGCGTAACTGCCGAATCGATACAAGTATAATATACTTAGTCACTTAATTGATGTCTTGTACATGTTCAATATCAGATCCGTTTATCATCTATGGTCCATTGTGGATTTTTCCATTTTGTAGGAAGTTTTTTACTAGTTCTATGCTATCGAAGAATTTTTCATACTCTATAAATGCCAATGTATAACAGGATTTGATATGCCATAACTTTTTTAATTAATGTTTTATATAAGGTGACTTATTATAGTAAACTTTGCTTATAGTACTGAAGCCCTTTTTAAATCAAGCATGCATCTTCGCTTGCCTGATAGTTGCCTAATTTTGACATCAATCTGTTCGTTAGTATTTTTGGTAGTTAGTAGTTTCATGAGTATGTAATTCTTCAGATCCTTTTTTATCTCCTTTTTTAAATAATAGCGTCATTATAGGTATTGCAGTTATTCGGTACCTAGCATTTTTTTGTTGGTGAGTATTTTATTTTTTTTGTTACGAAAATTCGCCTTTCTACAAAGTAGCTTATCGTTGTGTTTGCACCCGGTCATTTCTGTTGTCGTCCCACTTTATGTTCCACTTTGTTCATTGCTCTCCCTACTTTGTTGTTACAGTCTCCTATTACTATTATTAATTTGGATTTCTATTCTTCTACAGCTGTTGGTATTTCTTCAGCTTACGATATCTTCATCGGTATGATTATGATTGTTTGTCGGAGCATATAAATGTGATTTTTAGATACCTCTTTAGGTGCTCTTTTCAGGGGTAAATGCACAAATGCATCCAAATTTTCTATAATTTTGCTTGGAAGCGAACTGCCTATAAAATCTGCACGAGTCTATTTTCATATTTCAGTGTCACCACATCAAATTAAATGTAATACGTAACTCGAGAACCAGCAACATGGATATCGCAAATAACCCGGAAGTTATGTAGTGTCACATAATATATAGCTAAACCGCGTTTTAGCTATAATAATACGTGCTAAACAGGAACAAAACTGAGCGGCAGCACCGGTGAGGTGTGAAGCGTTCATAGAAAATTTCGGCAGCCGATATTTGTGAATCCATTTATTTATTTAAAATTTAACAACAATTTTAAGTGGAAAAAAGTCTCTAAATTTTTTATTTACAATAATTTTAAATGCATACCAGTTTCGGCAAACGGTTATAAAAACTATTGCTGCCTCATTATCTCATCTCATATCAGAAAAAAACTCAATACCCAAGTAACATTAAAATAAACATCAGTCTAATATCGGGTTGGTGTTGGAAGGGTAGAGTGGGGCAGGTTCGGACGGATTTTGTTAAGGTGATACTGAACTTTTATTTCAGCTAATCGCTAATCTTAATGTTCTAAAAACGCAAATATATTCCATCATATGTTTTTAAACCAATACCCTAGCAATTTCAGAAAAAGCTTGCACCATTTTTCGTGAAAATTAAAATAAAAAAAAGTTGCCATTTGTCCGAAGGTGCCCCACGGTGGGGCAGTTTTGGACACGCATGGGGTAACTCCGGACATATACTTCATAAACAGTTTATTTTTTGACAGGAATATTTTAAATAACTTAGCATCAATCTAAACATCGAAACTTATAGTTTAAAGGAACTCCAAACATACAAACCTACGAACTTTGGCACTAGCCTACAAAAATAAAGAATATAAAAATAACAAAAATAATTAATGACAAAAAAACGTAAATTGAACATGTTTTTATTATTAAAGTATAAAAGAATTTATTTTAGGTTGAAAGAACAAAAATTTACGTTGAATTTTAAAAAACTATCCATGCGAGCATTCTCAGCATGAGAAGTTGATGGTCCGAATGTGCCCCACCCTGTACTGTCCGAATGTGCCCCACATGTATAAAATGTGAAAAAAACTAAAAAAACTGAAAATCATGTCTTGTCGATTCTTGAAATATAGCTTATGTGGTGTGAAACTATCATACTTTGTACGTATACCCCTTTAAATATTAAAAATTACCATCACAAAATCCTGCAGAACCTTACGAGTAGAGGACATAATACTTAGTTGGGGTCACTATTTATGTATTTCTGGTGATCACTCCCAAATTTCTCAAGATACCAGCACGAAATTTTGTCTGGCGATATGGAGCAAACACGGGTACCAACTGTTAAAATGCCGAAACGCGTTTAGTTTTGGAAGGCGGTAAATTCAAAATGTCCGGAGGTGCCCCATGTCCGAACCTGCCCCACTCTACCCTACTCCATCGGTGCACTTTATTCATTCTTTAGGACAGAGGAATTTTCCTAATGATGCCCACGCTAACCTTCTCCTTCTTTTTAGTTTGATTTTTTTTTAGTTGGTTTGATAATTTCTCCTGATATAGATCTCCGATAGGTACTTATTCTTCTTTTGTTTATGCTATTATGATTATGAGCTGTTCCCGGTTGATTTTACATAGTTTCAGTACCATTTTTGTCGATTCATTAGCCAGTGTGTTCATTAACATGGGGAAAAGCTTCCGATTATACTCTAATCGCAATTGCCAGCTAATCCAAATTGTTAAACTCATGCTCACTATTGCTCACCCTCATTCAATCTTCTTTTAATCATGATCGATACGTGCTTGCTCAATTAGATTGATGTCAAATGATCTCGCAAGTCAATCCACTTTTTCAATATTACTATTCCTTGAAACGCCTTGAATGATTCTAGCACTACGTAGACGCGCATTATCGTCCATCAAGAGAAAATCCGCTTCAAAGATTCGCCCAAATGGAATAATATACCTAATACTCCTAACAGGCAGATCTCGGTACCTTTCCTCATTCATCGTTTTTCCTACCAAAGCAATGTTCTTACTTACCCATAACACTTCTCCAAAGCACACCTCCACCTTCAAATGGTACTCGCACCCACTCTTTCCGAGAAATAGTTTAATCTTTCACTTATTACTAGCAAATTTAACCTGCATTCATCCGTGAACCAACCAACTGTTTCTGCTGCCTCCTTGCAGCTCGATGAGCAGGTTGTGATTGTAAAGCAGAAGCACGTCTGCGACCATTGAAGGGCTGCAATCTTTTTTGTACAGTGTGTGTCGAGATTCAGCCAGTCGCTTCATGAAAATTCATAGGTATTGATGTTTGTTGCTTTTATATTAATTGCCGTCTAATCTCGAATAATCATGCGATCCTTCCTATCTGAAGAACCTTGTATCTATACCACGGATCCTCTTCAGTTGCTTTCCAGAACCCTTCTTATATTGTAGTTTTTGTCGACTGTTAAAATCCCCAATATCTTTCAACGTTCTGCCTTATGAGCGCAACCTGTTTTTATTAATAAAATTATGGGTATCTATGTATTATTCCTTTAATTACCTAAATTCATAAACTCATTTCTGAATATTGCCTCGACTTGACTTCATTTAGCCAAGGTTCACTTTTCAAGTCTTCTATCAAATTCAAATTACTTTTGTCACAGATAAAGTGGCTAAAGTTAGTAGGTATATTATGCCGGTTTTCCACTAAACGGACTGTTGAGTTTGTGTTTTGTCTATGTTTTAAAACAAAAACAAAACTGGAACAAACACAAAACTCTTGTTTCAATCAAGCGGACTACGTTTTGTTTTCTCGGTCCTTGCTTCCAAGCGGGACCCGAAAAACATAACTCTAACTGTGTCAAAACACGCTTGAAAATGTTTGGGAAAAGTTTGAGTTTGGGTTTTGCTTTTGTTTTGTCCGTTTGGTGGAAAACCGGCATGACAGTCGACCAGACAATTATTGAAAAAAAAAAAAAAATTAAAAAACTGAGAAATTTAATTAATTAATATTATTACATTAGGTAGGGACCTATATGTAGGAAATTTCTGGAATTCGGAAATTGTGGAAATAACCCTTAAGCACATTTGAGGATATCGAGTCAAGTTAGATCTGGGAGAGACCCTACCAGGGAAAGTCGCTAATTCATTTGAAAATTCCTAAAGAAATAAAAATACTTTGTAGGAATTTTCTGGAATTTGGGGAAG